TGCCAATGAAAAGGTATGCTTTATGAAGGTTCTATTTTACTGACAGTATACATTGACACAAAGGTATTGTGGTTGAAATAATGTACGGCTATTCATCAGGCGATTGAATCATTATTTGATGTTCCCTCAGTTATAATCAGAATGTATTCAAAGGCATTCAATTGTTTTGTTTGGGTGTTTTACTTTGGTGGTTTTACTACAGAGACATTTTTCAACCTTGCAACCCGGTCACAAGTTGCACTTAATTACTGCTGCGAACGATCAAATGTAAGATGTGGACCATGGCAAGAACATAATCGCACCACATTTGTCTGATTCATACAGTTAATCAAAAGCTGCTCTGATTCAGCGCTGATCCACAGTAGGTTCACTCTTCTGTGTAATCATACACATGATTGGACCCTTGTCCTTCTTGAGCAGAGTTGCCCTCTGTCCAATTCCATACTGTCTGAGCACATCTACACTTGTACTCACTTAAACTAAGGGTAGCAAAATAAATCTTTAATTTGACCAATTATTTAGCATAATTTCAATTGATGTTTGATTAGCCCCATATATATATATATATATATATATATATATATATATATAACAAACATGACTTGTTCAATATAACGCAATACAAATTTACTAAATATCTGTGGTCAATTTAAGCCGGTTCAAAGTTATGAATTATTGTGAACTATAGGTTATAGGTATAGGTGTGTTGTTCCAGCCATCCATCCATTTTCTACCCCTTAATCCATGTCTGGGTCAGGGGGTGGCAATCAGCGATGCCACCCACAGCACTGGCCCCTCACTGATCCTTCTGCAGGTGGTGAGTCCACAGGAGGATGGCTGCTCTGTCAGTGATGACACAGCCTTGATCTTATTGCAAAATGTGTTGTTTCGACATGTAAATAATACATTTTGGAGTATTATCCATGAAGCTGAGTTTTATGCTATACTATCATACTATATACACATAATACAGCCACAAAAATATTTCCAAGGAAACGAGCCAGAGAAGGAGGCCCTTCTCAAAGATGAGCATGAGTCAAGCTCGTGGGGATCCATGCCCACTCACATGTTTAATATTTTTTCAGTGCAAAAAACAAAAACAAAGAACCACCTTGTTTTGTTAGACAAGAACAAAAGGTTTTAGTTTATTTTCCATGCTGTTGTTGAGATAAGAAGGAGCTTGGAGAAGAAACCTTTATTCTTACTTTTATAGTTCTTTTTTCTTAGGGCCCTCTTGAGGTTTCTAACTTCAGTTAGGAGCAAGGCACTCACAATGCCTTATCCCCCTCCTTTTATTTGATCATGACCCATGGTCTTTGCATGGTGAGTTTTTAATATGGCAGACTCTTTTTGCTCTGCATTTTCTCGCCTTATGCAGTCAACAGAATTTAATTAGTGAATTTACTTTTTAGTCTCACAAGCACCGGATTTAGCCAGTTTTAATCTCATTACATACATGCTATAGAGAAAAGAGCATTCCTTTACGTCAGGTCGATCACGAAGGTAGGGTGGGCAGCTTGCATAACATAGCAGAGTTCATACGTTTGATATCTATAGGCGATTACACATGTGCCAGAAAGTAAAGTATGAAGACGGGATCTCTAGCGCATCTTACACACAGAGAATAGTGGCACACACAGGGATCAGGCGCCAATTGAGCCTTTCTCCATTGAGCTTGTGCCCTCGAGCAGCTTTCATGCTCTATGCCATTTACGTAAGGGCTGCTTCAAGAGAGAAACATCTCATCAGATTCAAATGTGACTAAATACATTCTGATGGTGCAAGAAAAGAAAGCGCCCACGAGCGAGTACGGCCTATGTAAACAATGTTCTGACAAATAACATGACTAAGAATTTATAAGTGACATTTACAATATGAGAAACATGAACAAGAACATACTGTACATCTTTGTACCATCTACAATACTGAGAACTAAAAACGTAAAAGCATTTATTTATTTCCTCCCAACAAACTGACAGCGTGGTCATCAGTTGATCATGAATCACAAATGCATCAAGAATCAAACCCAATGTGGTGTTCTGAATCGTAACACCCACATAAACCTGAGGTAGATCACGATTCAATGGTTGGTGAAAAAGTAGATCTTGGTTTGATAAAGTGTGGGCACCCCTGCTTTACGTTTATATGTGATACCCACTGATTTTCATAAATTGCACGGCTTGGGTCATGTGACTTTCCTGTGGTTCCAAGTCGTCAGGATGATCGGATTGTCCTGTCTAGTGTTATACGGTTGCCTCCAAAGGTAAAGGAAGTAGAGGCTCAGAGATGAAGTACTATACTTTTGACCAACGATTCACAAAGTCTGGAGCTCCTTCTGGGCTTTCGGGTGTGGAGAACAAAACCACTGTTGAGTCTTATCCCGTCAATTCAGGTTTAACACTGAACTGGGAACTCTGAGCTGTGAAGATGGGGCAGTGTTCAAAATAATGCATTATCAAATTCTTGCTGAGCCACCAATTACAATTCCAACTCACTAGTGATCAGGTCAAAACACTTATTCAATCCAAAATTGATTGCAAGATGGGCTTGTTCACACTAAAGGGCACAAAAGTGTGACAAAAGGCCAAAAATTTGATTTTAATAATCAGAAGATATTTTATGTTTTTCATGTTTCAAAGCACCTCCTCTGTCCATTAGAAGTTGCTAGAACATAACTGTTTTACACATTAGACAAGTTTCCTATAGCGGCCCTGTTTATTTTATCTAACGGACGTGATGATTTGACGGAATGAGCTTTGTGGAAGTTTGATAGGTATTTTCAGATGTCCACATTTTATTAAGAGATTTAATTTTTTTACACAAAGTAGATGCAAAGTGATACTTTCATATTGTCAACCAATTAAATGTGAAAACAGATCAGAATTTTTTTTTTTCTCAAGTTTAATTTTTACAGAAAAGAGGACCGTCCTCATCACGTCCGTTATACATTTTTCAGGGGTCATTTAATTAATTAATAAAAAAAAAAAATCACAATTCCTTTTTATATCAAGTGATTCCCTTCTGTTGTGTTAACCATGTAAATCTTGTGGGATTTCATCTTCTGCTTTTTCAGACTGAGGACATTTTATTTTCTATGTCACTGGCGTCACAGTAGAATGGTCCAATCAGAGGCTAATTTAGTCGTTTAAAATGTTGCTAAACATTTTTATGTCAATCTTTCCTTTAGATTTTTTCCACACTATCTCTTCAATCTGTCTGTGTTTGAAATCTTTCTTCCAATCTATGAAAGTAATTTTAGTTTTTAAGTTATAACCTTTTAAAGTCCAGATACTTCAATCGTCACTTTACTGTGAACACACTCAGATACAAGGTTCAATCTCCCATTTGAGTTGCTCTTACTGACTTTACAGCAGGTTTCACACAATATTCTACTTTACACAATTATAGGTTATAGAGCTATATTTATATGGAGAGAACTAAAATACAGAGAACGGTACTATGTATTTGGCGTGTGCTTGAATGATTGGTTGAAGAGTTTGATGAAAGCTGTGGCTACAGTAGTTTACCACCGCAGTGAACAGAGTGAAGCTTTAATACCATGTGGAGCGTCTGATTGCCCTAAAAAAGTGCTCCAAACCAATCCATTATTATGATTATTAAAAGGCTTTGATACCATCGCAGTTGAAGACCTTGCTTAATTAGTTTTTGCTCTTCGCAGACAGAAGATTTACTGTAGATGAGACCATGTGACAATTTTGGACTGATCTTTAACTCACATCAAATGAACATTCCTCTGTGTATGTCAAATCGAGTCAATTTTATTTCACGGACAGTAATATTTAACGTGTCTATGATGAGTGATAAAAGCCTTTTTCAGCAACTGTGCCTTCCAATGAAATGCCTCTAAAAGCTTATAATTCTACAGATTAACTAAATCACTATCACATAACGCTGGAGTGTTGAGTTGGATGGATGTAGTAGGACTAGGAGTTATGTTAATGGATTAATAACTGCATAATTATGTATACAGCTTTACCTATAGATGGAGATAGTTATATCGATATATTGATATTTAAGCATTTACAGCTAGCTAAGAAAGATAGCAGCTATTTATGTTGTATTTTTTGTGTGCTCCCTGTGTGCTGTCCTGTGCATTCAAATGTACCCCCTGTGGGACAAAAAAAAGGTTCTATTTTTATTCATATTTACTGCAAACGCAATACAGCAATTAACGCCAAAATTAATACTCAAACAAGTTTCACCTGCTACAACTTTGACCATCCAACCACTGAGAATGCTTGACAATACAGAGCCACATAGGGCCAAGATACTGGATAAATGGACAATAAGAACACAGTGAATTTTCTTGGTTTTGAAAATTGCATAACCTTTGTCATCTGAAATGAATGTATAAATGCTAGCTCAGTAGACTTTCGGCAGCTCTGAGAGTACTCCTTGTTCCCTGCATTTTCAAAGCACTAGTGAAAACCGAAACCTTCACCTACTTGCGCCAATTGAGGTGTGAAAAACCAGTCCAGTCTGAGGTGCTTGTGGATGCTGATCCTAATGCGGTTGAGCTTGCATGTTTACGGGTCAATCGGATTGGAGTGTTTGCTAATAATCCAGTATTGACAGCATTACATTTGCAAAGTTTGAGTAAAAAGGGAAAGTTGCGAGATCCCGTCGAAAGTACAGAAAAGGTGTAGAAGCGTACAAGGAAGGGACAAAAATTCATTAAACCGGGTTGATTTTTTTTTATTTTTCCTTCTTTGTAATTACATTGCTCAATCACACGTGGAAAAAAAGCAATAGAAAATGTTGAGTGCCATGAACTGCAACTGAAAATACTTAATGATGTAGATAGATAGATAGATGGATAGAAAAATGGATAGATCCCTCCTTGGAGAAATTCAGGTGTCCAGCAGCAGAAGACTCATCCAAGTTTGTTGTACAGTCTGACAGCCGAAGGAACAAAGGAAAGCGGTATTTCATTGATTCACTGTACAGTTAATTTAGTGATTTGTCTGTTTGTGTTTCAGTACCGAATCGGTCAGCTGTACATGATCAGCAAGCACAGTCACGAGCAGAGTGACCGAGGAGAAGGAGTGGAGGTGGTGCAGAACGAGCCCTTTGAAGATCCGGTCCACGGCCAAGGACAGTTCACAGAGAAACGAGTCTACCTCAACAGGTCAGCCACTTTGTCCACAGCTTTCAGTGCATTTTAGTATTTCATTTTATACAGACTCTTCTGAAAACATGCTGTTTATCAGAAGGCACAAATAACCTCTTAGAAATAACCTTGATCTTGCGGCTTTTTGTTTAAACTAGCGCTGTTCGGTTTGCTTTTATGTGGAATTTCAACACATAGCTTTTTATGAAATGGAATGCATAACTTTTTTATACAAACAATACTTACAATAAAAACCTCTGAGAATTGGGACTGAAATATCAATTGTTATTGTATCAATCAGGACTGTAATGCCGCGTTCAGACCGCAAACGCTCAAACGCTGAAGCCTCGCTCACCAGACCTGCATTCTCTAGTTTTCAGACGCACGGGTCTTCACACCAGAACGTCCTGGCCAGTGCCAGAAGTGCCGGAAGTAGCCGGCCGGCTCTGATGCTGCATGTAAAGAGCTTCTCCAATAATGCAGCTTTGCAGGGAGTCTGTGTTCAGAGACCTTCCACAGACTTTATATAACAGTAGTATGTGTTCATGGAGGTGCGCAATACGTTTATTTTATTATTAAACGATGCTTCCGCATCGGCGAACACACTCGAAGCAGTTGCATTAGGTCACGGGAGAATGACAACGCATATATTCACAAGCACACAGTCCCCCAAGGTCCACCCTGGTTTAGTCCTGGTTTAGTCCTGGTTTAGTCCTGGTGTAGCTCCTGTTTTGGCTGTTTACAGTATGTTCAGTCTGCTCGTTCAGACCACCAATGTCCCTGTGACCACTTTGCGACTCTCTGATTGGTCACTGCACGGACGTCTCGAGGAAAGGTTGAGCAAAGTTTATCTCCAGTGGGCGTCCATTTTCCGCTCCTGCTCCTCCCCTTTCACTTTCCCGCGCAGTCCGTGCGTCTCTACTTCGAGGTCCGTGCGTGCGTGCTGAGAGGTCCGTGCGTTTTGACGCTCGAACGCGCGTCACCATTGACTTTGCATTGAAAGCAGACGCAACGCATGATCCGGTCTAAACGCGGCTTAACACGGTAATAGATTAGGTAAAGGTAATGGTGCACTAGGTGCGTAGAGAAACCTGCGCAGACACAGGGAGAACATGCAAACTCCACTCAGAGGACCCTGTTCCGACCGGGATTCGAACCCAGGACCTTCTTGCTGAGTAGTGAGAGTGCTATCCACTCAGCCACCGTGCTGGCCACAACTAATCATTAATTGAAATGGTTGTCAATCAATTATTGAAATGGTTGTCAATCAATTATTGAAATGGTTGTCAACTAACAAATGAAGGTTTTTGTTGACTTTTTAAAACTCAAACATGCTGAGAGGTTTTATGACTGAAATAATTCTATATTGACTGCAGAATGAAATGAGTTTGAGAAGTGTTTGCAAAGTATTTTTAACTAGAAACTTGCAATGGCTGAAGCCATTGCGATTGACTGCGGAACAGATCTAATGTGGAAATCTGCTAAAAAAAATCCTTGAAATCCTTTAAAAGGCCTTGAAACTGTTAAAATACTTGATAGATATTTGAAACTCCTGAAGTCCTTGAAATTGTTGAAACCTTTAAACTCCTGAAATCCTTGAAACTGTTGAAACATTGAAACTCCTGAAATCCTTGAAACTTTTTTAAACCTGGAAACTGTTGAAAGTGTGGAAACTCCTGAAATCCTTGAACCTCCTGATATCCTTGAAACTGGTTAAATTCTTAAACAGTTGAAATCCTTGAAACTACTGAATGTATTGAAAGTGTCCTTGAAACTGAAAAATCCCCTCACCGCTGAAACAATTTGGTTCCTGTAACTAAGGAAACCTGGTCTGTGGTCATTATCTGGTGGTGGTCTGAGTCTTCGTTTGGGTCTTGGTCTGGTGGTATAATGCAACCTATTAGGTTGCATTATACTGGTTACATGGAAAAAATCCCTATTAGGTTGCATTATACTGGTTTACATGTACAAATCCCTATTAAGTTGCTTTATACTGGTTTACATGTAAAAACCCCTATTAGGTTACATTATAGTGGTTTACATGTAAAAATCCTTATTAAGTTGCATTATACTGGTTTACATGTAAAAACCCCTATTAAGTTCCATTATACTTGTTTACATGTAAAAACCCCTATTAAGTTCCATTATACTGGTTTACATGTAAAAACCCTATTAAGTTGCATTATACTGGTTTACATGAAAAAAACCCTATTAAGTTGCATTATACTGGTTTACATGGAAAAATCCCTATTAAGTTGCATAATACTGGTTTACATGGAAAAAACCCCATTAAGTTGCATTATACTGGTTTACATGAAAAAAACCCTATTAAGTTGCATTATACTGGTTTACATGGAAAAATCCCTATTAAGTTGCATTATACTGGTTTACATGGAAAAAACCCTATTAAGTTCCATTATACTGGTTTACATGTAAAAAAACCCTATTAAGTTGCATTATACTGGTTTACATGGAAAAATCCCTATTAAGTTGCATTATACTGGTTTACATGGAAAAATCCCTATTAAGTTGCATTATACTGGTTTACATGGAAAAATCCACATTAAGTTGCATTATACTGGTTTACATGAAAAAAACCCTATTAAGTTGCATTATACTGGTTTACATGAAAAAAACCCTATTAAGTTGCATTATACTGGTTTACATGGAAAAATCCCTATTAAGTTGCATTGTACTGGTTTACATGGAAAAAACCCTATTAAGTTCCATTATACTGGTTTACATGTAAAAAAAAAACCCTATTAAGTTGCATTATACTGGTTTACATGGAAAAATCCCCATTAAGTTGCATTATACTGGTTTACATGAAAAAAAAACCCTATTAAGTTGCATTATACTGGTTTACATGAAAAAAACCCTATTAAGTTGCATTATACTGGTTTACATGGAAAAATCCCTATTAAGTTGCATAATACTGGTTTACATGGAAAAATCTCCATTAAGTTGCATTATACTGGTTTACATGAAAAAAACCCTATTAAGTTGCATTATACTGGTTTACATGGAAAAATCCCTATTAAGTTGCATTGTACTGGTTTACATGGAAAAATCCCTATTAAGTTGCATTATACTGGTTTACATGAAAAAAACCCTATTAAGTTGCATTATACTGGTTTACATGTAAAACCCCTATTAAGTTGCATTATACTGGTTTACATGGAAAAATCCCTATTAAGTTGCATTATACTGGTTTACATGGAAAAATCCCTATTAAGTTGCATTATACTGGTTTACATGGAAAAATCCCTATTAAGTTGCATTATACTGGTTTACATGGAAAAATCCCTATTAGGTTGCATTATACTGGTTTACATGTAAAATCCCTATTAAGTTGCTTTATACTGGTTTACATGTAAAAACCCCTATTAGGTTACATTATAGTGGTTTACATGTAAAAATCCTTATTAAGTTGCATTATACTGGTTTACATGTAAAAACCCCTATTAAGTTGCATTATACTGGTTTACATGGAAAAATCCCTATTAAGTTGCATTATACTGGTTTACATGGAAAAATCCCTATTAAGTTGCATTATACTGGTTTACATGAAAAAAACCCTATTAAGTTGCATTATACTGGTTTACATGGAAAAATCCCTATTAAGTTGCATAATACTGGTTTACATGGAAAAATCCCCATTAAGTTGCATTATACTGGTTTACATGGAAAAATCCCTATTAAGTTGCATTATACTGGTTTACATGGAAAAATCCCTATTAAGTTGCATAATACTGGTTTACATGGAAAAATCCCCATTAAGTTGCATTATACTGGTTTACATGGAAAAATCCCCATTAAGTTGCATTATACTGGTTTACATGGAAAAATCCCTATTAAGTTGCATTATACTGGTTTACATGGAAAAAACCCTATTAAGTTGCATTATACTGGTTTACATGTAAAAACCCCTATTAAGTTGCATTATACTGGTTTACATGGAAAAATCCCCATTAATTTGCATTATACTGGTTTACATGAAAAAAAACCCTATTAAGTTGCATTATACTGGTTTACATGAAAAAACCCTATTAAGTTGCATTATACTGGTTTACATGGAAAAATCCCTATTAAGTTGCTATTGGAAAAATCCCTATTAGGTTGCATGATTACACTGAAGTCCTTGAAACTGCTGAAGTCCTTGAAACTGCTGAAGTCCTTGAAACTGCTGAAGTCCTTGAAACTGTTGAAGTCCTTGAAACTCTTGAAATCTTGAAACTGCTGAAATCCTTGAAACTGTTGAATCCTTGAAACTGTTGAATCATTGAAACTGTAGAAATGTCTGAAAGAGCTGAAGTCCTATTAAAATGCATGGGCCTATTAAAATGCATTGCAGAATTCTCAATGCAGATTTTTGTCCGATTGCGGAAAAACCGGAAATCGCTGAAGTCCCAAAAGTAATAGCAATAATCTCCCAAACATGTGGAACGTTTTGATGTATAACTTGTGGAAATTGTTGAAAATGTGAAAGCTGTGAAACGTGTCAAAAAAAATGACGGAATAAAGAAATACAAAACCAATGGTTGACTGCGGAAGGTTCCGCAGTCAATCAAAAATGACGGAATAAAGAAATACAAAACCAATGGTTGACTGCGGAAGGTTCCGCAGTCAATCAATAAAGATATGAATGTTATTTATGAATTTTTATTAATACAGATTTCCCTCGCTCTCGCCCTCCCCCCTGCACGTACCACTCACATTAAACATATTTTTGATTGACTGCGGAACCTTCCGCAGTCAACCATTGGTTTTGTATTTCTTTATTGATTGACTGCGGAACCTTCCGCAGTCAACCATTGGTTTTGTATTTCTTTATTCCGTCATTTTTTTTGACACGTTTCACAGCTTTCACATTTTCAACAATTTCCACAAGTTATACATCAAAACGTTCCACATGTTTGGGAGATTATTGCTATTACTTTTGGGACTTCAGCGATTTCCGGTTTTTCCGCAATCGGACAAAAATCTGCATTGAGAATTCTGCAATGCATTTTAATAGG